GTAAACCAGGGAGCCAGTCGAGATCTAGGCCGGGTCAGAGGCCGCAAGGGCACGACTCGGTCTAATGCAGCGGCGGCAGTTGTCTCCCAAGCCGCCGCCTGATTTTCCGCCGAGTCATGGACCAGATCCTCCGGATAAGGCCCAAGCTCCGTCAGGAACCTCTCTGGGTCCATCAGTCGCCTGGGACGGAACCATCTAAATTACATTCAATATTATATTGAATTTATAAAATAGTAATGGAAAGGACAATATAATCCCCTGAAAGTTACTTAATTATAGCAGCTGTGATATCAAGGAATAGCGTTGTGCAGGTCTAAAAAATATGAAAAAAGTAGAAGAATTAAAAGAAGTTGATTTGTTTTCCAAATTGTACAGGAATGATAGAAAAGTTGCCTTTCCTACATTCCTTCCTCCTGCTGGTTTACATTTCTCTACCTGGAATAGACTAGGATTGGTGAAGCTCAATATGTCTATAGCAGGTAACAGGTTATCCATTGTTACAGTAGAGGCAAAGATCAAATAATTAATTATCATTGCTTGCTGAGAATTCTGGGATTTGAGGTCCACACATCCCAAGGTTAAGAAATGCTGATGTAGGTAATACAATCTACTCTGAGTAGCAAAAAGTCTTCAAACTTTCAAGCAAAAAAACCCCATGATTTCCTCATGATTCTTCTAGCTGAAGAGGCCAGAAGACCTTTTGCATACAAAACATGGGTCTTACTGCTGATCTATCAGCATTTCTAGAAGCTGACCTTTGAATTTCCTTTAGAATCTAGGTCAATACAGTGGTTAAGGTGCTGGCTTAGAAACCAGAAGTCTCTGAGTTCTAGGCATCCCTTAGGCAAGAAAGCTGGCTGGATAACTTTGGGCCAGGTGCTCTCTTTCAGCACAACCTTGTTTGCCACCTTGAGTTGTTCTACACACACACACACACACATGGATAAATAATAGTAATAATAAGCTCTACTTGGAACTTACATCCTGCAACAATACATTTAATATTACTAAACAACATCTGCCTATCCCAGGCCCTTGGGAAGAACTCGATAGGTGGACAAAAATGCCACATCTAGCCTAAACATCCAGCTAACTCTGCAATCAACCATGTAGTTCCTGATAAATGAAAATATAGGCCATCAATCTAGTTGTTATTCTAATGTTCAAAATACAGATAGATCTCAAAAAAGTCAATCATACTTTTCTTGCAGGCTTTTGTCTATTTGTGCAAAGCCCATGGATCACCTATGGCAGCCTTGAGGATGTTGTTGAATTAGTACTCCCAGCCATTATGAGAGTTGGTGGGAATTGTAATTCAATTCTAACTAATTCTCATAATTGCTGAAGGAAACAATTCAGTGTGTCTGGAAGGCCACAAGGTACAAATCCTGCCTTGAACGGGGGGGGGGGGGGGCTGGACCTCCAAGTTCCCTTTCAGCCCTCCTGTGTTCTATAAAAATACAGATTATGAGTTAAACTGTTTTTTCTGAATATCTTCAAGATATTTTTACAGATTAATGGTGAAGTGGGAACTATTTAGTCATGGTTTCATGGTCTAGCAGCATATGGGAAAATGTCCTTTCCATCCAGTTCTTGCTTTAACTTGGCCAAAAGTATGAGAGCTTAAAACAACAACTGATGTGGGGAATAAAGTCATGGATCTTCATCTTAAACACTGCTCTCATGATATATTAAAAACATAGGTATGAAAGTGGTGTATGGCTTATTCCACTAACATGAGATAGGACAGTAAACACTGCCAATATGTGATACTTGGTAAAGCTCAAGAAGAGTCAGCCAAGATATATAAAGGGAGAAGATAAATATGCACATATGCAAATCTCAATGAGGTTTCAGAAAACAGAGAGGTTGGTGAGATTTACAAGAGATAGTACTGGATATTAATAGTACATAGTACATAGTTTACCTTTCTCCATGATTATCAAGTACAGGGTTATGTAAAGTAGTCAATAAATGCAAATGCTCACTGTATACGCACGAGTGTGCTTCAGCTGTTCATAGGGAATATTAGAGCTTAGAAGTCATCTCCAGAGGATAAGATTCTGTGTATGTGTGTGTGTGTGTGCGTGCGCGCTCGCGTGCACATACGCATTTGAGTCAGCATTGATTCCTGGTGACTTCCTGGACTGGCTCTCAAATAAGACATTATATATGAATGATACATAAGTAAAACTCGGGAAAATTGAGCCAATGTCAACTAGGGATCTCAGTATAATGATTATACTGTAATTTTATACTCACCTAAAAGCATAATCACTTAAAAATAATGAAACATTACCAAATAGGATTGTATAGTAATAGCAAACTGGTGTTCTATCCAGACCATCCTGGCTAAAATCTCATCTGCCAAGGATTAAAGTAAAACCTACTACTACTCCTAGCAGTTACAGGGTTTGTCTGTGTTACTTTCTTGGCAACATTACAGAAGTGGTCAGTGATTATTTTCTTCCAGGATATTTTTTTTTCAATTTTCCAATCTAATCTTCATCTGATAATCTCTTATCCAAGTACTAATGAGGTCTGATCCTGTCCAGCTCTTTTGTGATCAAACATGGGCATGCAATGGAAGGATTATTCTACTGCCCCATCATGCATAGTTGTAAATATTATGTGTGATAACTCTATAAATGATCTGCTTTACATTTTAATATATCCCTATCAAATTCACACTTCCCAAATATGAAAGTACAGTATGTAGTAGACTGAATGTCAATATTTACACATTTCAAATGTGTAAGGTGCAATTTTCCAATTATTAAAAAAATAATAAAAATGTTAGCACACACTAAATATTTGAATGGAAAAACTGGTGGAAATGACATTTAACAAATAATATACAGTAAAACCTCATATTAATGAAGGTTTGTAGGAGAAAGAGAATCACCTTAAACCTGGCTTTATATCATTTGCATGAATTAATGTCCTGGGTAATAATGATGTGCATTATATAAGTTAATGCAAATGATAAACATTGAGAGGAATCACTCAAATTACGTTGAATACAATGGGCTTTGTTATTTTGATAAGGCATCCAAATGGAAACTACACG